AAGCCCCACCCCGGGAGGCCCCCCCCCCCCCGAGCTTCCCCCACGGCTACCAGTTGTGGTTGAAGTACTCTGGTGCTTTCATCACACGGTATCACAGTGAATTAAACATCCATCACTATTGGAGGCTCCAGGATAATCCTGGAGGGTTGGCACTTGTTCACCCGAGAGATACTCCTCCCCTCCAGGGGTTAGGAGTCCCTGAAAGCTCCTGGGGGGCTTCGAGCCCTTCGCTGAAAACCTTTCCCAAAGCCGGGGGCAGGACTCGTACTCTGGTGCTTTCATCACACGGTATCACAGTGAATTAAACATCCATCACTATTGGAGGCTCCAGGATAATCCTGGAGGGTTGGCACTTGTTCACCCGAGAGATACTCCTCCCCTCCAGGGGTTAGGAGTCCCTGAAAGCTCCTGGGGGGCTTCGAGCCCTTCGCTGAAAACCTTTCCCAAAGCCGGGGGCAGGACTCGCCCAGCTTTCTCATTAAGGGACTTAGCCTGCAGCTCCTCCCATCTGCCCCTTCCTTAACGGCGCCTGCCTCAGCTCACTCCCTCTTTGCCCCGTGCAACACCCCTCCATTCTGCTCTGGGCCAGAGTCAAAGCCAAGCCCTGTGTAGAAGCCAGGCAGCAGAACATTTCTCATTGCAGGTAGCAGAGCACTTCCCTCTGGGCTGCAGGACACTGAGAGCTCAGACCCTTTCTGGACAGGTGGATCCCCAGCACAGCTCTCTCTGAGCAGCCGGCAGGGGACAGAACACTTCCCATGGGAGGGCAAAGTGCAGTCCAAAAAAACAAACCATCTGGGCAGAACACTGTTAGCTGGGAATAGTGTTTTCCTGGGCCCCTATTCCCAGGTGCCAAGCTTGTGTCATTTCCAACTCCCCATAGAACTGCTGTTTCTTTCTGTGACAATCACCTGACATTGGGGCCTGTGTCACAGCTTTGGGCCACACCTTTTGGCCAGGATATGAATAGCATTGATAGCCCCCCAGTAACTTAGGGTATGTCTACACTACAAAGTTAATTCGAACTAACGAACGTTAGTTCAAATTAACTTTGATAGGTGCTACGCTAGCGCTCCGCTAGTTCGAACTTAATTCGAACTAGCGAAGCGCTTAGTTCGAACTAGGTAAACCTCATTCCACGAGGACTAAGCCTAGTTTGAACTTACTAGTTCGAATTAAGGGATGTGTAGCCCCTTAATTTGAACTAGTGGGAGGCTAGGGCAGGAGAGCTGCCAGCCTGGCCACCCAGGAGCAGGTGTGCATGAAATCAAGGTGGTCCACTGAGACCCCCGACCCTGAGCCCTGAGCTTAGAATGGCCGTCCTGGGTCAGACCAAAGGTCCATCTAGCCCAGTAGCCTGTCTGCCGACAGCGGCCAACCCTAGGGACCCTGGAGGGGATGGACCAAAGTGACTGAGCCATTTGTCTCGTGCCATCCCTCTCCAGCCTTCCACAAACTTCAGGCAGGGACACCACTCCTACCCCCTGGCTAATACCACTCCATGGACCCAACCTCCATGAATTGATCTCACTTCTCTTTAAACTCTGTTCTAGTTCTAGCCTTCACAGCCTCCTACAGCAAGGAGTTCCGCAGGTTGACTATTTGCTTTGTGAAGAAGAACTGTCTGTTATTAGTTTGAAGCCTGCTACCCATTCCTTTCCTTTGGTGTCCTCTAGTCCTTCTTTATGGGAACTCATGAAGAACTTTTCTGAATGCACCCTCTCCACGCAACCCCTGCTTTTAGAGACCTCTATCCTGTCCCTGCTCCATCTCCTCTTTTCTAAGCTGAACAGTCCCAGTCTCTGTAGACTCTCTTCATCTGGGACCTGTTCCCAACCCCTGATCATGTTAGTTGCCCTCCCCTCTCCCAGCCTTTCTCTTCCCCTCTCCCACCTCCTTTTCCCAGTCTCCCCCAGTTTTGTTCAATAAAGACAGAGTCAATGTTGGAAGAAACGTTATTTTTATTTTGTACCTCAATAAGGGGGGGGGCTAGGGAAGGGTAAGTGGAAGGAGGCGAGGGAGGAATGGGGTACGAGCCCCCGATGGGGAGGCTGGGGGTGGAACCTCTCCTGCAGCCCCCCAATTGCCCCCTCTCCCCAGATGGCAGCCTGCGGCAAGTGCAGCCAGGCTGATGGCCGAGTGCTGTGATGTGCCCAGTGTGGGTACTCCGGGCAATCCAAGCCAGGACTGCTATGCAAGCAGGGCACCCCTGAGAACTGTCTGTCCAGGGTGGGGGTCGGGTCCCTTTAAGCACAGCCCTCGGCTAGCCTGAGACAGCAGCTCCACGCTCTAAGTCCTCATCTGATGCCCTGCCGGCACTGCTTCCGGCCATCCTTAACCCTGGTTCAGGGTCCACTCAGTGTGGACATGCTAGTTCGAATTAGCAAAACGCTAATTTGAACTAGTTTTTTAGTCTGGATGCGTTAGTTCGAATTAGCTTAGTTCGAATTAACTAATTCGAACTAAATTAGTTCGAATTAGTGCTGTAGTGTAGACATACCCATAGAGAGCTCTGCTAGGATGAGCAAATCCCATTCATTGAATCATAGGATTGGAAGAGACCTCAGGAGATCATGGATTCCAACCCCCTGCTAAAAGCAGGACCAATCCTGCTATTTGAATCTCACATCATTTACATAAGGCAGTGCTGTTTTCTCACTCCTGCACATTGGTGTGTATGCAGCTAGTGGATCCTGCTGAGGGAGTAGGTGCAGTGCAGGGAGATGATTAACGAGGGGCACTCTATTTAGCAATTAACATTTTGGCATGGGCACAGAGGGGTGCTGCACCTCCCCAGTGCTACCATGAGTCATGTATGGGACAGCAAACGTCTCTCCAATCATGCTTTTCCACATTTAGTTTATTCCATAAAATTCACTGCAAAAGCTGGCTAAGCAGAGCCCTGAAGGTCTCAAGCAGATAGAGAAGCAACTCCCTTCACCTTCTCTCAATCAATATGTTAGACAGAAACAGGGCAAAAGCAGAAAAAAGAATGAAAACATTCATTTCCTGCTTCAGGTCAGAAAACAGAATACAATCAACTCAAAGAGATAAGGCCAGCTATTTACTAAGGCCTTCTCTAAGCACATTGGTATAATTGTGTTGTTTGAGGTGTGGGTTTGGGAGTTTTTTTACAAAAAAAAGTTATACTGGTACAAAGTGTGGATAAAGTTATATGTGTATAAAGGTGCCTTATAGCAGTCTAGATTATTTTCCTTCTATACAGGAATAAACTCTGTTACAAGCCACAATTATACTGATTAACTTGCCTCTGCACTAGATGGCTACATCTAGATTGCATCCCTTTTTCGTAAAAGGGATGCAAATTAGACATATCGCAATTGCTAATGAAGCAGGGATTTAAATCTCCCCCGCTTCATTAGCATAAAAATGGGCCTGCCGCTTTTTTTCAGCTCGGAGCTTTGCCGGAAAAAAGCGCCAGTCTAGACACGGATCTTTCGGAAAATAAAGCCTTTTCCGAAAGATCCCTTATTCCTCTTAAAATAAGGGATAAGGGATCTTTTGGAAAAGGCTTTATTTTCTGAAAGATCCGCATCTAGACTGGTGCTTTTTTCTGGCAAAGCTCCGTGCGGAAAAATAGTGGCAGCCATTTTTATGCTAATGAAGCGGGGGAGATTTAAATCCCTGCTTCATTAGCAATTGCGATACATCTAATTTGCATCCCTTTTACGAAAAAGGGATGCAATCTAGACGTAGCCGATAGGTTTAGCTATACTGGCATTTTGTTCTGCTTTAATGATATACTCTAACTTTTGAAATCCTTTATTACTGGCTGTAGTACTGCCTGCTGTGAGAACTATATTCAACAATAAAAATGTTGGCAGGATTGATCCTTTAAACTGGAGTGACCAAACTTTACAGCACCTTAGACAACATTGGCAACATTCCAGGAGCCTGAGGCTTGCACCTTGCTGTCATATAAATACACATAGTCATTAGAATTACTTGCACAGGGCCCTCAGCAATGTTCATAGTCATGTGACTAGCCCCTGAATATATGCAATAAGCAGTGTGCATAGTGACCTAAAGTGGAGAAAGAAGAAGACAGAAAGACAGTTCTGCACTGCATGTGTGGTGTTCTCTCTGTCACACTGTATGGTTTCATGTTGCAGGCACCTGATGGCACCTCTATAGCATCTATGTTTGAATGCAGGGCTACTCAACTTTGGAATCCCCAGGGGCCACAATGAGACTCACAATACATGCCCAGGGCGCAACGTAAGTGTGGTTGCATATACAGGCAAATATATATGCAAATATATGCATATAGCTTTTCACACTGATGAGCATGAATACAAAGATTAAGGCAAGACTACACAACACGCAGGCCCCATTTAGGTCAGTTCTGATATTAATGAAATGCCATATTTACCCGATTCCCACCCATATGACAGCACTTTTAATGAGCAATGACAGTGCAGGAATTTAACCACTAAAATTCATATCAAGAGAAGACCATTATATTGACTACTTTTTTGTTTTGGCTCTCACCCGCGGGCCGCGTGTTGAGCCCCACGTAAACCCAAAGTGCATCACAGACCACTGCATGTTGGCTCCCACCCTCAAGGCCGCATGT